TCTGTGGGTTAGAAGTCTGGGATGGCGTGTCTATATCCTCTACTCAAGATCCCAAAAGGCTGAAATCAAGGTGTTGCCTGGTCTGTACTCTAATTTGGAGTTTGGATTCCTCATCCAAGCTGATTCCACTTGTTGACAGGATGAATTGTTTGTGGGTGCACAACTGTGGATCTGTTTCTTTGTTGGCTGTCATGCGCTGATGACATCTGGCTTCTAAAGTCTCCCTGCATCTTCAAATTGCCAACAGTAAACTGAGCCCTGCTAATACCTAAATCTCTGACTTCCTTCAGCAAACCAGAGAAGGCTTTCCTTTCCCTTATGCCCTTAGCCAGGGAAATCTCTCCACTTTTAAGGGCCACATCATCAGGGGAGCACAAGTAATAACCCTACTGTAAGGTCACCCACACCATGCAGCACAGTAATCAATGGACTGGTATTTCATTATAGTCACAGGTTCATGCAGTCTCAGGCAGGAGGATTTTGTAAAATTCTGCCTACTGCATATATTAATTGTAGTTTCCTCTACGTCTGAGATGAGCTGGTAAAGAGAAGTGGTCTCTAGAGCCAGGTGAATATTGTAGATCCACAAGTTATTATCTGAGAGATAATGAGCATATACTGAAGTTTTCTCTAATGTGTTTTTTTTTTCTGTGAAATTGATGTACCTTTCTTACCAAGTTTTTGTGAAAATGAAATGTACTAGTACAGGTAAAGCTCTTACAGCAAAGAACTACTCACTAAATATTATTTATTAAATATATTATTTATAAACTCCCTACACAAAGTATGTTTACTCAATATTTGTTTAGCAAATATATTTCAGTATAAGATATACATAAAATGTAAGGTATTCCTAAATAATATATGTGCTGTGATTTCTTTTGTTAGTATAAAATTTTAAAGCTAGTCAACTGAAACAGTGGGAGTGGAAAAGGAACAAAGAAATCTGTGATCAATCTGTTGTAGACTAATAAGTCCACTACACTTGGACTTGCCTTTTGAATTTTTTTCATGAAAAATAATCAGTGATCAGGAATTATTTCTAATAATGTAATGTCAAAATTTGATATTACTATAAGTGCTGAGCCTCACCCTTACCTGGTACCTATATTGTAATAAATACATTATAAAGTATATATTAACGAACATAACTATATGTATTTATATATTTATAAGACTTACGTGTATTCATACATACATAAGACATGTATTGTCTTATATCATATGGTCTCAAAAATACCTATCTCATTTTATTTATCATTTTCTATATATCAAGAATGAGATTCACCTTTGAATTACATAACTACAGTATGTTGAGAAGCTTTAAGTTGCTTTTAATTTTATTAAGTTACATTCTACACTTTACAAAATAATATTATTGCCATAGGAAGTGACAGCTTGCAGAATAACATTAAAATTTCCTATTAGAATTAATGCAACTTTCACACTTTTTTAACAGGAGTGATGTACAGCTTAAGAAGTAAAATGATCCTTCATCTCCTAATAATAGTTTCTAAGACTAGATGTGACCATGTGCTTGTTTTAATGGCTTTTAACATTATTTTAAATTAGTTGTATACTTTTATTGTTTGGGGAGCTCACATTTTCTAAAGCTGGTTTTCTGCCTCTTCTTAATAAGTAAGCAAACTTGGCAATATTAAGCCAGAATTCCCAGTGGCAAGAACAGAATAGAGGGCACTCTCCAGTTTATGAAAGTTGTCAAGACTCTATTTTGCCTGCAGTTCCGCACTTTAGAGTTATGCTTTCACCTTGTAGGGATACTTTCATTAACAGAGTAACCCTGATATCAGATAACAGTGATAGTTTCATCAGCAGAGTCACCTCAACATACCCATGTCTTAAAACTGGATCTTCCAAATTTATTTGCTATCACCATGGCAGGCCACAATAACCAATGATCTATTTTTGGTTTATGTAATGGCTTACATAGTATTGTTTTTACTTTAAGGACAATAAAAGCTAAAACCATTCAGAATAGCTTTCTTCTTCTGACTCAGGAGACAGGCAAGGAAATACATATTCTCTTATAAACAAAGGAAAACAACAAAACGCCCAAATTGATAAATTAATAATAAATAATAATAGAATTAGTAGGTATATACAGTTAGGTAATAAAGTACATTGGCGAGGAAACGTCTTAAATAATATTATTAATAACTTTTATTAGAAAAAAAGGAAAGTACACACTTAACTGTGGCTGTTAAAAAACAGAAAATAGTGAGGTAAATGATATGTTAACCATTTTGATGTAAACATCCCAAATTGTATATAAAATCAGCACATGGTACCCCATAAATGCAGTAATGTACACAGTTATTATCTAATAAAAAATACTCAGCAAAAAATCAATAAAAATACAAAAATAAACATAATACAAATTTTTTTAAAAAGATAAAATATTTGTAACACATGCTAAGAAAATCAGTTACATTGGCTAGAATAAGTGAACTCCACAAATAAAAAAAATACTCTTTTTTGTTTTGCACTAGTCAATGTTTTATAAGTAAGCAAGATTGAAGATAGAGTAAAAATAAGTCTTGGTTTCTGGTGTGGACTGAATAATAGTCCCCCACAAATTTAATCCTAAAGCCTAGAACCTGTGAATCTGTTAGGTTACCCAGAAG